ATTCCCCAGCCAGCCATGCTGGCTAGGGAATTCTGGGAGTTGAAGTCCACACATCTTCAAGGGGCCAAGGTTGAGAAACACTGAACTAGAGCATACAGTATATATTCACCTTAGCTGTGCTGTATCTTCTCCTCCCCAGGTTACTGCATCCAGACATTGTTGCTGTGACAGATGAAAGCTATTCAGTTTCTTAGTTATGACATGGGAATACTTAGTAGTTCTGCTGGTATCTTTTTTCAAGAAGGGAACAGGTTACTTTGGTACTGTGGAGCTGGGAAAACATTTTAAACGTGTTTTTTGCCTACTTTGGGAAAAGCAGAAAAAGGACATCCCTATTCTGCCTGACTTTTCCCCCCAGCTTTGGGGGCAGATGGGGGGGGGGGAAGGAAGAGGCTAATTTTGATCTCTGTCTTTATCCAGAGGTCTGTTACCTCTGACATGTCAGACCTTCTTGTGGCATCTCAGAACAGTATCCAAATTCCGTGATACAAATGGAATGTGCTTTTTAAGTGTGAACTCCACTTTCCAGTTGTTGTGATCTTTAATGCTGATTTATTTATTTGTAGGCTGCCCCATCCCTAGAACCTGGGGTGAGTTACGGTTTCTCAAACCCACAAACATAAGATGCCCAGGTGAAAAACCAAGTAAATAAAAGTGCACAGACACCAGAACCTCAAACCCCAATATAAGCTTAGTTGGATGCTGAACACCAAGCCCTTTAAAAAACATCACCGCAGTTGTTAAAGAGGCTCACCTAGCAATGCTTTATTTATTAAGGAAGACCACAGCATGCTTTTAAGGGACCCACACTTGCAATACAAAGCCTCTTCCAATTATTCAGGCCCAGTGCATGCACCTATCTTTTATGTCAGTACCTCTGTGTTTCAGAACATGCTCATCTGTTTCCTTGTATGCAAGTTGTGTTAACAGTTCAATTGTGAATGCATGCTAAATACAAAAACTGTAGAATTATCTTCAGATGTGGGGAAGCATCTAGTGGGGAATGCATCTGGGCCAGCCCCAAGGTTGCCTTCAAGCATGCCTTCCCTAGGTAAAACAGATGACATTTCTGCTGACATTTCTTGAAGCAGATTGCAGTCCTATTTTTGGACTCTTGGCTTGGTGGCAGAAAATTCCACTTCCTAATAATGTAAAATAACTGGGGCAGCAGAGTCCAATATTTTCATTAATTCGACTAACATTTTGATTGACTGATGCACTGGGCAGGTGATTTAAATTATTTTAAAACGGATGTTTAATAAGATGGCAACCATCTTAAGAGGCATGCCTCCTTGCTAAGAATCAGCGGGGATGGAATGCTTCTTCTAAGATTTTATTGACTGTGCAGGTATGCTTTCTTTCATCTGAGACAACAGATATTTTTCATTTGCAAGTGTCTCCCTGTTTAACTAATTAATATACTAAAAATCACATTGCTAATCCGTGAATCCGCTATGACCATTGTGATGACTGTCCTGAAAAATAATGCTTGACATTATTAATTACACTTGGCACTTATCCTGCGTTTTGTGAGCACGTAAAGCAGCTTTGCACAGATTCTAGCACTCAACTCCTCGTCATGTCCTTTGTCAGTGTGGTCCACCTGATATATGAACAGGCACACTTCTTTCTTCCCACTCTCCAAGGTTTGGGGCACATGTCTGTCTCGGAGCTTTCAGAGCTCCTGGATCGAGTGGAAGGCACAATTCAGGATTACTCGGAGGAGCTGGTGCAGCAGCTGGCTCATCGAGATGAGCTGGAGTTTGAGAAGGAGGTGAAGAACTCCTTCATCACGATCCTGATGGAAGTGCAGAACAAGCAGAAAGAACATCGAGAGATGATGAAAAGGAGGAGGAAAGAAAAAGGATTGAGTCTGCAGAGCAGTCGAATAGAAAGGGCAGCTCAGATGCCTCTCAAGGTTAGTGAGAAATCTCTGAAGGTGGCTTTCAATTAAAGAGGAGGAGCTGAAATAAGTGTAATGTAGATTTAAGATTCCCTTCCCCCTTTCTTTTCCATGGCTAGGATTGTTCACTGACTCTCTCAATGTAATTTTGCTGGGTGTTCATTTAGCTAAGGGAGATGGGGAATAAGCAACTGTTGTGTCAAATTCACAAAAGTGTTCTTCTTAGCCATTGGATGGACATCTGTTCAGTGAACTCTTCTCCAGTGAGAATTTGGTGCTGGCTCCTGGCTGATGGTCTAGTTATTGCAAAATTATCCTAAAGGAGTTTTAGGATGACTCTTAGCAGCTTATGACTGAAGTACTTCAGCCTGCACAACTGTTCTGGAGCCTTCCCCATCCAGCATCTTCCAGATGTGAAAGGAGCAGTAACTCTCAGAAAACCCAATCAGCACAGAAATTGCCTCTGGTTCCCAACACATCTTGGGATGACAAATTAGGGAAGGCTGTTCTATTGGTTTCTCTTAATTGGAATCTCTCCATTTCACTGGTGAATTTTAAATTTAGATATAGATATAGTATATATGTAATCTATCTCACAGATCTGGGATCTTGGGTATGCACTCTTGCTTAGAACATGAGATGTGCCATTAAGGTTTACTGCTGGTGCCTCCCATAGTATCTGTTGCGAGTTGTTGAGAGCTGTAGTTCAGAAGCATCTGGAGAGCCCCAGTTTTTCCATCCCAGGTATATTTAGTGTATGGAGAATCTGGATATTGATTTTCTACCAGATGCTTTTCAGCTCAAAAAATGTAGGGGCAGAATGGTGATGAATTTTGTCAAATTTCTGCTTCTTCCACCCTACCCTGTGTGTTGTACCCAATTAGATAATCCTGTAGTAGCAGCTAGCAGTCTGAGAACAAGCCTTCAGGGCTTCTGTTTTCTCCTCTTTGTAGCGGTTCAGCATGGAAGGAATTTCAAATATCCTGCAAACTGGCATCCGGCAGACGTTTGGAAATTCAGCAACTGAGAAGCAGGTAAGAGTGTAATAGTTTCACCCAGAAGATATTTATCTGAGGTTGAGGTTGTGATTGTTGTTATGTAGCTGCAACAACATTGCCATTGTGTAGAAGGTTGGTCTTGGCCAACTTAAAGTAGCCTTGAGATTAAGGAACACAGGACCTTGCCTTCAGTCAATTGAGGCTCCTGGTCCATCTAACTAACTATTGTCTTTCCTGGTAGCATCTCTCCAGGCTTTCTGTTTTTCACATCCCTGCTGTAATTCCTCTAACTGGTAAAGCCACAGATTGTACCTGGGCATCCTTCCTGCAAAACAGAGCTACACCATCTACATCTGCTTTTGGACAACATATCTTATTTACTGATCGTATAAACTGCCTGTAATATCTTCTTTGGAAGCAAAAGAGGTTGTGGTGGTTGTTTCTGATTCATGTTCCTCTCAGAAAGAATGGTCAGGATTTATAACTGCCAGTATTGCTCATTTCCAGTATTTGAACACTGTTATCCCATATGAGAAGAAAGGGGCACCTCCTTCAGTTGAGGACTTACAAATGCTTACAAACAGTAAGTTTCTATTATGTTAAGTTGGGTGTGTTAGAATGTAAGTTCCTGATCTGCCATGTTGGGTGTACTGAAAACAAAACTTTAATTAAAGAAAACTTTAATTAAAGAAAACTTTATCCTCTCAATCATAAAGGAGGTAAGTGAGAATTATGTGCCCTTATTGTTCAATTTCTTTTTGTAACAGCATGGAAAAATTTAACTGGGGGAGAAGGGCTGACCATCTTTTATGTATTTATGTATGTATGTATGTATGTATTTATTTACTTATTTATTTAATTTGTACGCCACCCATCTCCCCCCAGTGGGTGACTCTGGGCGGCTCACAATTAAAATCAGAAACCCCACCAACAATTAAAAATCCCCCCATAAATAGTG